TGCCTCTTCTAATGCATCGTAGGATGCAAATTCTTGGCCGCATAAAATGGTGTGAAAAGCCTCTGACACACGACCATCAGTTGCCATCGTTTGCGCCATAATGAAGAACCTGCTACGCAGTATTCAAAAAACCGTTGAATTCTGAAGGATACGCTCGCAGAAAATGTAGCCAATCACCGAGCAGCAGGGTCGCCCAATTAGAAGCGTCGGCGTTCCGTCGCCTCTCGCAGGTTGCACGAATAGTTCATTGCCGTGATCGATCGAGTTTGAGTGCTTACTCTGATATTTGCATACCAGCTTCATTATATCTCCGTGCGCACTTGATGACAACGGAGCATGACGCTGCTGAAAGAAATCATACCATAGCATCATTTTTTCTTTCGTGGGCAACTGTTATCTTCATGCAGTGGATTCATCAAGAAATTAGTTTGCCCATTCATGGCAAAATAAACGACACTTGTTTACATTTTATGAAACAGAATATAGCAAAGAACAGTATCAAACATAAGTCCACGTTCCAAAATACTAAAAAATATAACTCGGTCTGTGGTCTAGCAGACATCTTTTACGAAAGAACTTTAAAATAAGGTGACATTTCACCTGTTTGTTCTCGAAAGTGCCCTTGGTCCGAACTATGACTTAAATGCCTTTGATCTAAGTTGAATCGAATTAAAATTTTGAGGACCCTCGCACCGTTTATCGTATGCAATCATTTTCACACGGAAAGTATCAAAGCTGTCTCTGGTTTATCCGGCTACCTGTATTGTTATTCGTACATACTCTGCAGCGTAGTTAGATAAATAGATTTTATATTTCAGGCCCAGAGGGCCTCATACCTACAAACCTAGTGCTGTGTTAAAAATAAATATGAGGATAATTGCTGCTCTTTGTGAGCAACCACACAAGCAGCAAAACTGTTTAGTATAGTAGGCAGATTATTTCATATCCACCAACATATCGTAATGATAAAATAATTGTCAATACTCTCTGGTGAACTAGGGAGAAAGCAGTGAAAAAAAATCCTACCAGGAAAGCGGGGGGAGATTTCAGCAACCCGCATTTTATAAAAATAAAACGTGGGAGGAAAAAATTCTTGTATAAAAATTAAGAGGTTGATTGATAAGATTGTTGCGATACAGTGATATAGGACTGCGTTTGTTGATGAAAACGTATGAGGATTCGAAAGGCTTTTTGTTATTGGAGAAATCCTATAGCAGCAAAGACTACCGTTCACCGCCGTAACGCCGCCCGACCGGCTACAGGATCAATCATCAGGAAGGTGAGACAGGAGGAGCTTATCGCGGACAACTGTGTCGAAACTATGAGGGGACAGTAGATGTCACGAGGTCATCACCGAAATGCAGGAGATGCGACATTGTAGACTGCAGACTTCACTGACAGCCTGGCGAAAACAGAAGAACCCGCCACGAATAATCGCCAGAGATCGTGAAGACCATTATTAGGATTGCAAAACGGAGAAAGATTGTCAAAAGTTGGATGGTTAGAGAGAGTAGGGGATAAAAAACGGCTGCAAACGTCGACTCTGTAAAGGATAATATAAAAAATATATGGAGAGCAATGGATTATAAAGGGAACCGCCTCAAATACCAGGCGGATCATTTTAAAAGTCCAAAAGTTGTTTGTTTGGGAAGGAAACGGATAGTAAGGACTTTATATCTTCTGAAGTTAAATGCTGACGTAATTTTGCTTTAAAGACCGCTACTGTAGACGACAACCTAATTTCCAGTGGAATAGTATGCCAGGCGACGGCATATTTGGTGGCAAACACGAGAATAGTTAGATGTGGAGCTAAAGAGTGGTGAAATTCTCATTGAGGAATTACGAGTGGCATACGTTCCATCTGTCGGAGTGGGAGCCTTAGTATGTGCAAGATTTCAGCTTTTCAAGTCGTCATCGGCCATCCGCGGCTAAGTCTAAGTGATTAGCGCAATATGCACAGCCACGTACACAAAATCTCGTAATACTGCTTTAAACTTCAAAGGTATATTATATGAGCAGCCTGTGGATTTGTAGTTTACTTGCTACATTATAGCATCAAATCAGAGGAAACAGCAACAGCCTGATGAGTCATGCTGGACACTCCAAAGAATTGGCCCAGAGCGCGGGCAGTGGAGAGTCGCGTGTGGGCCTGCGATAAAAGTGTCAGCGAAAGGCTAACCGGAGGACCGCTACAGTACCCCTCGGCTAGACCGAAGGTGGCGTAAAGAAACAACGCCGAATGAAAATATAAAAGTCTAAAAATTATGAGAAACAAGTCGGTCAGGAAAGTGAACGTGGCATCCACTACGGGCAATGTATGCTGGAGGCGCAGGGCAAGAGTGGCTATTGACAGGAATGTTGGAGGTTAATGAGGGAGGAGAAATTTTCGATGGCTGTGGAGATGGCGGAAGAGAAAACAAACGGGAGGGAGGAATAAAGGGTGGGGGAGTGGAAAAAATGGAACCAGTGAGTTCGTCCGGCGGAATGTCCGGTACAGCGGCTTTGATGCCGTCCACGCTCACGACCTCGCGTTCCGCGAAGGATGCGGAAGGTCTTCTCACCGCGAGAGAAAACCCGGAACGGGCCATCATAGGGAGTTTCCAGCGGCCGGCGAACTCTATCACATCGTAAAAAGATATGAGAGCAGGTCACCAAGTCTTTTTTGAGATAAGACTTGGAGATGGTGGGGCTGGTCGGAACTGGGGGAAGCGTCCGTGTAAACTGCCGAAGACGGTGCAGGAGGTTGGTGGGATCCTCGACTGTATTTGGAGGGTTTGGTGAGATCAGCTCACCGTGAAGTCGGGCAGGGGCGCCGAACACCAGTTCAGCGCTGGAACAGTCAAGGTCCGGCTTGAAGGAGGAACGGATACCCAGCAACACCAAGGGAAGATTGTCCGTCCAGTTCTCCGGATCGAGGAGGGAGGGAGGACTTCAACTGACGGTGGAACCGCTCGACCATGCCGTTAGCAGCTGGGTGGTAGGCTGTAGTGCGGATGCGAGTACAGCATAAAAAGGAGAGTAAATACTGGAATAGGTTAGACTCGAATTGAGCACCACGGTCAGTCGGGATTGTGGAGTGAACGCCAAAGATGGCAACCCAACGACTGAGGAAAGCCTTGACGACCGTAGAAGCCTCGATATTTGGGAGAAGGATAGCCTCCGACCATCGGGTGAATCGATCCACACAAGTGAGGAGATAGGAAAAGCCATTGAATAGAGGCAAGTGGCCTGCGATATCCAGATGAACGTGACTGAACCTGGCACCAGGACTGGGGAAGGCACC